TTAAAAGCAAATGTGACAACGGACACTGGCAACGTAATCGAAACGTTCAGCGCATGCTCCTTAGACTTTGAACGTCATTCATTGCCACAGGAATCCCAATTTTTTGTTAATTTTCCAACTTTTCCTRCAAAAACATATGGCACTCGACGATATCTTTAACGCCGTGAAACTTATTCAAAGAGAAGACAATTTTGATAGCTAGAGCTTTAAAAAAAGTTTAAGTTTAAAGTTTTTTTTTTTTTAATTAAATGGTTTTAAATTTTTTTTATTTTCATGGCTTAGAAAACGAAACTTATATTTTGTAGCACTAGCCACATGCAGTCTTTGACTGCGTATTTTTTAAGATTTTTATCAAATTTGTAATAACAATACATGTGCCACTGTATGTAGTTAAATATATGACAGATTCTCCAAGTTCATGGTTGGGATATTTGCATAATATGTTTGTTCAAGGCACATGGGCTGATGCACTTATAGTTAAAGCGTTTAATTGGTGCACTTAATACCATACACGATATCCATTGGAAAAAGCGAGGTTTTAATGCAAACTTTTTGCGAAAAAACTTCTCAAAGCCAAAATCGCGACTTAAACTTAACAATTTTTAATAAGTAATCTATTAAAGATTTTGCTAAACCAACATCATAGACTTATTCTTCATTCATACAGCTTTAATATGATATATAATGTGCTGTGGTTCTTATCATACGAGACGCTAAATATTTTTTTGAACTTGATAATTTGAAAACCCCAGCGAAGGGGATCAGTAACCTCCTGTACAATTTAACATTGGGTCATCTCGATGACTTTGACTACGCGTCAAAAACTCATAAGCCAGACATGAATTTAACTATTATGTGTCAAAAACTCGCACGCCTGACATGAATTTTCACATTATTATATGTGTTAAAAACCTCCCAAGCCAGACATCTTGAAAAGACTAGCTATGTCCATTTGCAAAAGTTAGCCTATTTGGTTCAAAGCGACGATAAAGCGGCGCCGTATGAAACGTGCATCAACTCATCTATAGTTTAAGGTTTGTTGTTTTGAATTTAGCCTTTGACTTACTTGGTTGCTTTCTATGGGTTTTAACCTATCTTTGTACCAGCATAGTACCAGGAACCCCTTTTTACCCTAAGATTAGGATAAACAAAGGGAACGTTTGCCGCTCATTTTCTTTTAAAAGGAACACATTGAAAGACGCAGTTCATCGCATGAAATAGTTGCCTTTGAATCACTTGGAAATAGCAATGGATCCTGATAAACATTCAGTCTTTTAAACGGAGCCACGCTGAAAAGGTATTGCCAGAACTCTTTGATGAATCGCCATTTTGTTTAAACATACGCATGTGCAGAAACTTGCCCAGCTTCCATTCAGCATCGGAATCAAAGGAAGCTGTCGAAACCTTTGTGGCAGGAGCCTAGACAGCCTAGGGGACTTTGTAAACATTACAAAAGACGGATCTTTTGCTTCTTCAGTTGGACTAATTTTTGTTTTAAGAATCGAAAAGATATTTTTACCAGAGGAAGTACTAAAGAAAAGCGAATATCAATGTCAATCCTACTAGCCTGAGTTCATCCAACGTTTACTCGTAAAAATTAAACCGGATGTACGCAGGCTATGTCAATCCAACTGCTGTGTGGAAATCGAGTTTTTTTTTTTACTCTCGACACCTGGGATTTGGGACTCTCGACATGTGAGTCTCGACTCTCGACATGGGAGTCTCGACTCTCGACCTGATAGTCTCGACTCTCCACTCTCGACCAAAACCGAGACTCGTGGAAATCAATACAGTCAGTATCAAAAGGTCGCCATTTTGACCTTTGAAAAGTCAATTTTTGAATTTTTCAAATGCTTTTAAAGCATATTTATATAAATCACCTAAATACATTCGTGCGTCGAGCCACAAATTTTATATTCGAATGTTGAACAGGTTCCTCAATTTGAGTTTATAGAGATTTTCAATGCGAGATGATGATAAAGTACGTACTTATCTCAAAGTGATCGCGTGATAAGCGCCAATTCAAAAGTAAGCGCACAAAAGTGTTAAACTTTTGGTAGTGAAAATAGGCAAGTTTTCATATATTGTTGTATAGAGTGTTTTTCATAAACCCGTGAAATAAAGTGTAATAATTAGACTGTAATAGATATCGTAATAGTCGCGTAGAGATAATATAAACAAAAGAGCCAAAGTGTAATAGCGATAAATACGCTAAAGTGTGTTTCACGGGTTAATGAAAACCACTCTAATGAAATATCAGTGACAGTCTGACAATTACAGTGCAAATAATCTTGAATAATACATCCGTGAAATACATAGCTAACTAACTGACCACTAATTAGAGTGGCTTTCATTAACCCGTGAAACACACTTTAGCGTATTTATCGCTATTACACTTTGGCTCTTTTTTTTATTGTCTCTACACCACTATTACGATCTATAATTACATTCTAATTATTACACTTTATTTCACGGGTTTATGAAGACCACTCTATGTGCTAAGTCTGGCCTAAGTAGAACTAGTTGAGAAGTATGTGAGCTTCGTTTTTTATTGTCTCTACGCGATTATTACGATCTATTACACTCTAATTATTACACTTTGTTTCACGGGTTTATGAAGGCCACTCTATGTGCTAAGTCTTGCCTAAGTAGAACTAGTTGAAAGTGAAAGTGCGCATGCGTACCTGCACGTCTTTCTCGAAGCTCAACCCAGCTACACTTTGCAACCATTAAAAATGCTGCTGGAAATTAAATGGTGTTTTTGTCGCCAAGTCTCATGCTTAAAAGGTGCGTATCTTACAAACGTTTCAGTACGTAGAAGCGTTTTGAACTTCAATGAGCAAAGGATAAAAAAGGACGTCTACAGTTTTTATAATGATTATAGCCAAATTCAGCTTTGAGAGACAGAATTCGTTCGAAAACACGTTGTTTATAGATCTTTTCGAGTCATTTCGAAAGCTAAGCTCCTTTAGCCACTGCACACTTTCTCCAATTAACAAACATGTAATTCCTCATAATTATCTTTAATAGATTAATAATATTCCCTGTAAAATAAGTATATATGTGTGTAAAATAAAAAATTGAATTGAATTGAATTGAATTTCAACTAATTGCGTCTTATCCTGAATTTTAGTTCAGCCTTTTACAATTTTGCTCGTTCTTAGAAAACACGTACTCACTTCAGTTCCAACAGTGTTTAAAGTGAAAGCAATCATCGTTTGCTGACCAGATAAAAAAAACCTACGTTCACAGTTTTGACGTCCTTTAATGCCCCCCCCCCCCCCCCCCCCACACACACCTTGAATTTGAGATTGCAACTGAAAATTGCGCGCTCATGGTTTCAACACAAAAAAATGAACTCCAAGTCCGACAAATAGAAACCAACTTGATCGAATGAACTCACTTATGAAAAATATATATACTTTGAGTGGTTAAGGAAATATTGTAGACTGAAAAGGCACCTAAATTCGAAACTGCTTGAAAAACCTATTACCGAGACTAGTGATAACCACAGCGGGTCAGTAAGGTTACCAAGTGCCAATCAAATCCAAGAGAAGCCAGGCACACTAGGCAACTGTCAAAGGCTTATAATGAAATCTTCATTTGTTTATAGATGCGTACAGTTGAAAATCTCACTAAGTGTAGGCAATTAACAACTGGCTACTTGAATATTTAGGTGCAGATAGTCTTCCTTTTGACCAAATCCAGTTGACAATTTAAAGCTTCTTCGCCGCTCGGCATAAAATGGCCGGCGTGGCACTTACGTTTTTCACGTCTCTCGACGAACTCCCGGACAGAATGTCACGAAAACTATGTCCGAGAGTCAAAATAATTCATCGAAATCACATCCAGTCTAATCAAAGATACTTTACTGTATTCAGGTGCAGATAATCTTCCTTTTGAGCTCACTTCGAGCTCACTTTGTTCGTTGAACAGAAAACGATTAAACGAAAAAGAGAATGTCAAGGAATGTAAATTAAGTTTGTCAGTATATTATGCCGAGCGGGAAAGAAAAATTGACAACTGGATTTGGTCAAAAGGAAGACTATCTGCACCTAAATACAGTATCTTTGATTAGACTGCATTTACATTCTACTGTGATTTATTTCGATCTACTTTTGACTCCCGGACATTAGTTTTTCGTGACACTCTGTTAGGGTCGTCACGGACATGTAGACACTTCGTAGGCACTGCTTGTCACGGAAGTACGTCAACCGTTTTTATATTGATTATAGCCAAATTCAGCTTCGAGATTTTTCGCGTCATTTCAATTTAATTGCATCTTATCTTGACTTTTAGTTCAGGCTTTTACAATTTTATTCGTTAGAGTAAAAGAGATTTACGGCGCAGAAAATAAAGACTCTTAAATGCGTTCCCTTGCGTAATGCTTGGTTATTTATTTAACTTTAGATGTGCCTTAGCTTGTCATGATATAGCCTGTGTACATCCGTTTCTCACCCCTCAAAAAATCGGGGAGAGAAACGATAACTTTGATCATCCAAGATGGCGGCTCGTTTCAAATTGACTTCAAAAACTCTGGTTTCCTTGATTTCCTTTTTAAATTTTGTTCAATTATGGCTTTATTTCAAAGAAAAATCACCTTAAGTACGTTCTTACGGAGTTGAAAGAATGATTTATCCAATTTAGAAGTTTTTGTTTACGATCTAAAAGTAGAATAAATTAAACTCCGCACAAACTAAAACTTTTGTGATTCGCTACCAAAGCGTTGAATTCGTCTGAAAATTTCCATACACACTATSTAGAAATATATTTAAGACATACTGTAAGAACAGCTCTTTAGCAAAAATATTTTGGATTTTGCGAGATTTTTTGCGTGACTATGACATCACATGCACACGAAGAAATACCCTATTTGTCACGATATCCATTTCACAGGTATATGGATGGCTTGCCAATCAATTGAGGATCGCTATGGCAATTATTCCTTAGAAAGAAGTACTTTATACTTTTTCTTTGCATCTTTCAGAGCATCAAGTTGTTCAATATATCATTACGAAACAGTCCAACAGACTTACCTTTCGAATTTCTGTTTGTTAAAGGTATAAGATCGTTGTAACATCGTTATAATAGCTGCGATGGCTGTTATGAACTCACATCGGCGCTCCAACAGTACATGTGTGTTTCACATAGTCAAAGGAAACTAATTTCTGAATTCTCTGAAAAATAAATTCGAGTTCAATTAATCCTCAAGTCCCATAAAAGGTCAAATCAAACATTCCTTAGCTTGCAGCTTAGCGTGTAGACTACCCTAAGAACTGCTATGTTTCAAAACGTTAAAATTGAGCATTCCCAGCTATTATACCCTGCGAGCAGAGGAATTTTTCCACTAGAAGGAGGTGGAACAATCCTCTGTTCGCAGGGTACAGCTATTATAATTCAGTTTGCCAGCGAGCAATTTTCTTCGATATTTCCAAATCGGTGTGGAGAGCACTCCTACCAAAGGGTACTCTTAGAAACTGGCTAAAAATACTTTATATAAACTCTAACAGATTTGAAATTTCACTGGAGTGATCGTGTACTAACCGGTTAGTGTAAAACCTATCATGTGCTTGGAATCTTCAGCTAGACAGCAAAACACTTCGCCGTTTCAAGTATCTTGAAATATACGTAACCGGCCGTCTACGGCTACGCAGTGAATACTTGCGTGACGACGTAAGCCGTAGGCGGTACACAGTGAAGCCTCGTTTTCAAATGACACAATTAAAGCTGCGTTTTTAAGAGTACACGCTTAGGAAGCCTCGTACTTGTAGCAGCGTGTCCACGTAGCCACTACACACTAAAGCTTCGTTTTCAAGGCGAACACACAGAAGTAACAGCTTAGCCACAAACCCTGGTTCAAAGTGAAGCTACGTGTCGGACGTCTGCGCGCTATTTTACAGTAATTTTATGATTCACTTCTTGTCACTTCAAGTATTATATATGGTAGCATCGTCAGTCCAATCAAAGTGCCGCATACTTCGACGCACACAAGTACATAAATAGAGCATAAAGTAGAGCTGACTGACCTTACATAGCTGAATCACTGACATGAACACAAGATTGATTCTAAATAATTCAAGAACTGGTAACGGCAAAAGAAATCTTACACTGGTTAAACCGCCTAACTTCTTCAGAGTAAAATGGCCATTATTACATCTCACCGGAGTATAAAAACCAAAGAAATATTATATATTCTAGATGTATATTTATATAGAAAGTTACAAAATGCGGCGTAACTTGGACACTGACTTGTTAGGCGGATAAGTTGACTCGATACGTTACAGGTGACCAGCTGAGCTGACCAATTAAACAATGTGAGAAATCTAAACGTGGTCATTGTCTTTTTTAAACCACTAAGGTTGGAGAAGTCAAACCACGACTGAAAAAAGTTGCTCGTATTATATTCCGCCTCCAAAAAGAAGTCCATTATTAGTCAAATTCTAAAATTTGCGCTTTTTCAAGTACGCATTTGCCAACAGAACACAACATACATGCCCCTCTTGGTGAAGCTAAAACAAATCGAACACAATCGATAATAAATCGGTTCGATTGATTGTTGATGGGTGGAATCGAACACAATCGAACAAGAACGTTGCTACGAAAAGAACGTGACAAAACCCGCGTGAGTTCGATTTCCAAGACTTCCAACGAATCGATAGATATATACGTACGGCTGCTAAAAACCGTCAAAAAAGCACCAAATAGAAGAAATGAACAGGGAATTGACTTGATTTGTATTTTTTTTCAAATTCCAAAGCACCTTGGCTAAGCATGTCCGTCAAAACAGTCATAACGTTACCGGCCACGTGTAACCCCTTGGCGTGACCACAGGGAGCCCAACCTGGTGTTAGAGTAAAGTCAGGAAAACCATGAAATAAAATCAAACTAAATACTAACAAATAGCGACTATTTAGAGACAAATTGTCAGTATCAATGAACAATCAAGATAAATCCACATGGGACCATTTTTTATTCATCTTTATTACATTCTGGTTCATTGATACTGACAAATTGCCTCTAATTAGTCGCTATTTGTTAGTATTTAGTTTGATTTTATTTCATGGTTTACCTGCGTTTGCTCTAAATAAAAAAATATAG